CCCCCCCCCCCCCCAGACATAAGCACCAGGATGTCACACACGGGGAGGGGGAGGTTGGCGACATGCATTTCATGCGTATGTGTTTGTGTGTGTTGGTGGGTGGGTGGGTGTGTAGGTGTGAAAGTGTCAGAGGTCACGTCGAGAAGGAGGCATTGCAGCCCGACTCTCAGTCTGCCACTGCGCACAAACGCACGTTGGGCTGAATGCAAGGCTTGAGTTCCATCGGCAGTTGGCAGTCTTACCTGTCAACATTATCATCAACGTACACTGGCAGTCTCAGGCTCCGATCACACATGCAGCGGAGGGTCCACAGGGAGTAGGAGCAGGAAAACACTTGCCACTTGCGAGGAGAGATGTGCCAACCACGTGCTTTTGTCGTGTGGTGTCGAGTGTGGTCGTGTTTAGAGTAGATGCTGGTGAGGAGGGATGTGGTGGTATGGTATAGCCGGCCTCACATCACGACATCCGTTCACCTGAGCACCGCGCCGAGGGCGGTGCGTGCGTGCGTGCGTGCACACATGACCTTTGTCCGCCTACAATCCCGACCAGAAAATGACAACGTCGATTGGCGTGAAGCCGTCTCCACAACGTGGCCAAGTCACGTGTGTTGCAAACAGCATCCCATTGGCAGGAGGTGTTACTTAGACTGACAGAAGGCGTCATGAGGGCATAACCAGACTGACGACTAGGAGAACGGACTGCCACAGGCACACAAGTTCGCCTCAACCGCTGATTGTCCTACCACACAACATCTCCGCTACAGCCTCCGCCACCGTAGCAGGACAGGTTAGTTATCAGTCAGTTAAACGGTCTTCTTCTGACTTAGTGCAGGTATGGGTTGGACGAATGGCATTAAATAGAATCAACCGGCAGGGCGTCAGGCAGATGCTAGGGATTACCCCAAATCCACAAATCCCACCTTTCACCTCGACTGATCGTAGCCCTCGGCGGCAGCCCAGTCAGCCGGATGACTCACAAACCCCACATCTTCTTTGAGGTTCATCTGGGACGTCAGTAAAATGGACATCTCCACTCCTCACCAATTCCCGCGAGCCAAAATGGAGCTTCACGAGGCGATAATGTTCTTCGAAGTGACACTGCTCCTTGCATCCATCTCACCGCATTTGGTGTGCAAGGCTATGCGCTGCGTCCTGCATGGAAGTATGGCAAATCACGGGCATGTCTTTACTGATATTGTCATCATATTTAAGTAGTATTACAGGCCGATGCCTCCCGTCATTCTGAGTAAATTGCACACATATATATACATTTATGCTGCACCAGGTAATACAGTGACATATGTGTCGATGGTTTACAATTGACAACATCTAACTACATTTTCTTCTTTCTGAATCATTATAGAAATTGCATGTTTATGCTCAATCGTATTATTGGACGCAGAGGACTGCTTGTCTGTGGTCGACTACTGCGTCCTTTCGTCGGCAGTTTCAGCAGCGTCTCATCTCCACCCTCCTCTCCAATTAACCTCAGGGATCACAACATCAATCACATGTTTGGTGCGTACGAGGAGGTTCTTTCCATCCAGATCCACTATCTTCGTCAGGGCCTAGGAGCCAACAATATCCTCCTATTTCCCGGTCCATTCGGCTCCATCAGGACTGATTACATGGACTTCCTACAGCGTCTGAACATAAACGAGTACGTTCCCTGGGGCTGCTTGGCACTGTGTGTTTTGACCAACTGGTGTAGATATAGACGGAGATAGGTGTAGAAAGTGGCACTAGGATACATCATATAGATGTGGCCCAGTAGCCGACGACTACACTATGTACGCTGTTGGTTCACACTCAAGATTGGGTAGACCAGTTTGGTAAGCGTGAATATTCGTATACAACAGTCATTGTGATGTCTGCAATGCAGGATGTTGTGATGAAACTAGCAAATCTGCCACTACACATACAGTTATGATCATCAATGAAGGATGCTGAAGGGAGACCATCTGCCACGATTATCCATACATGCTCTGGATATGGGACACAAATCTACTAAATTTATGCTCGAAGGAAGGGTATAATTCGGTTTTAAAAAAGTTTCTAATTGTTGGACGTTTAATATCGTTGAAAATCGAATTATACCTTTCCCTGGAGCATAAAATTAGAAGAAGGCGTAATTACCTACCGAATGAGCAGAAGAATGAATACTTTTGTGCATGTTTTCCATAAAATATAATTGGACTATTCGGGGCATCGAAAGTCAATGAGAAAATTTTATGCTATGTAAGTAGTCATTTTTTACAGAGTGCAGTTTTTGCATGCAGCCGGATGGAACTTCATTCGAAAGTCGGCATCCTGAGGTGACTGAACTATCATGTTGCAGGCTAACTAGTTTTACAATCCAACTTAATTAATCTTTTCGAAACGAAAAAGCATTTCGAAATTTCCGTTGACATTTTATCAGTTAGTCCACCTACTGTAATTCATGCATGCGTGTAGTCTGGAGAGGTACCCTCGGACGTCACGTTTTAAAATTTTGCGGACTCGCCCGCCAGTTGTACGTCTGACGGCGACGACGACGACGACAACGACCTATGGCAATAAGTTTTAAAATATCCGAAACAAAGTTTGTTGTTTCTTCAATTGACTTCTTCAGCATGAACATATACACACGCAAGGAAGGAGAAACGTCAACGTCTGTGATGACTGCACGTGGCCTATGAGAACATGTTCGTTTACAGTAGGCGAGATCATCTGGAAACACAATAACCCTTATTGCGCGCACATTTTTGATACAGGTTCCCCAGCTCATTGTCAGACTTATGGGACACACACAAAAACAGTTCACCCTTTAACCCTGTTGAAGAAGTCATTCTGCAGTTGGGTGAAGCTTGCGCCATTGCACGTCAATTGCATTTCTTCATGCCCTCGACATTGGCTACACTGGCTTTCATTTGTCCCTGAGGAATTTGTGAGTGGCATCTCAACCGAGATGCCGATTGATGCAGGGCACAGTTGATTGAATTACTTCAGGAATTGACAGCGCATCCTAATTGGTAGAAGGATGAAAACTATAAGAGTGTTCTCCCATGGGCAAGATGGCCCCCCACTCCTCATCACCGCTAAATGACGTTCATCTATAGGGTTTCAGACAGGTTTCCCAGTTCGGCATCAATAGACGGCATCAAAACTGGCACATGGGATCTTGCAGACAACGTCTTTTCTTTCAATGGCAAATAATTTACTCTGGAGAGTTTTACTAGAGAGAGAGAGAGGGAGGTTGTCACACTTGAAAAGTGATTTTTTGCCTGATTCTAGCTATGGGAATCAGTTTGCTGTCACAGGCGTTATTTTAGAGAGTCAAATGTTTTATCGATTGTTAAAGGTCAGATTAGCAGGTCTGTGCGTTTTCGTCCCCTAA